ACCTGCTTTTCTCCTGCCACAAGCAGCAAAACAAACAATACTGACATAACGACAGCTTTCAAAGGACAGTTGCAGTTCTGCAGCGGCACCTCAGTTAATGAGTGTAGAGAAAAAAATTTATCTGAAGAAGAAGAAAGTGAAACTCAACAGCCTTTCAGGTACATGAAACTAGCTTAGGAGAAAACTCTGAGAAGGTGGTGGCAGCTACTTAAGAAGAAAATGCAGCTGAAAATAAATGTACAAAGATTTTGGTTCAAATTTTCAAGAATGCATTTTCCCCTTGTCACTTATTGCTCAGATTGTGGAAAGTGTTAAGAGCTGGAATAAAGATTTGTCCCAGGTAATCATTATGTGAATGATCATGACCACATTTTACTGTTTCAGTTTGCTGGCAGTACCTGTAATTTCAGTCATGACAAACTAGTAAGACTTCTTTGAAATGTCATCTATGCTTCATCATGGATTTAGCTAGAATTTAAAACAATTATTGTACCACTTTCAATGTTAGCAAATTGCTTAAAATACAGTAAGAAAATATCAGCACTAGTAACTAGAATATTATTAGTATAAGTAACAAATTAATTCCCATCAACAAAGCAAAACCTCTTTTTTCCTTTTTTTTAAAATCCATGGCTTATGAATTAGGCTCCTAACTAGCCTGGCTCAACAAATAGTGTAACTTACAAGGTTACAATAATATTAAGAATAAATACAGTAGGCTTTCAGACAAAGGATGTTCATCAGCTTTTTAGTATGCAATGTGAAACTGTAACATTATATTTAGTGCTTTAGTTTTCTAATAAGTCATTGTGATAAGGTTAACACTTCAACACAGGAAAACATACAAATAAGAACACCCAAAGATGAAAATTACTTTGCTTATGTTGCTGTATTAGAATTTTATTTGCTAAAGGGTGAAAACAGATTTGCAAAATTCACAGTTAACTTAAAACAATAGTTTTAAACCTTTTATTCCTAGCCCTGGCTGCCTTCAGGAAGGAAAGAACATCTGGTTATTTAAGGAACACAATATGTTCACATTTTCTATGACTTTTGTTTCTAATTGGGTTTTTTAATTTTTTATTTTATTTGAACAACTCTAGTTAGAACTATGTTTTTTAATCACTTTATATTTTTCAACTGCCCTATCTCTCTATCTCTGTTTCTTAATTTTCCAGTCCTTGCTTTGAAAATTAAGTGAGCTCAATGGTTTTGATACGGAAAAAAAATGAAGAAAATTTGCCACTCATGGGATATTAAATTCAGAGACACACCTTCAGTAAATGCTTTTGGATATACACAAAAACCCCTTTCCTTATTTACTCATTTCTCATATACATACTTCTAATAGCCCATTCTTCCATAAGAAGCTTTGCTTTTATATTCAGAAGGACAATAAGTGCATAGAAGTTACCTTCATATCAATAATTGAGGTAATTATCTGTTCAAAGATTAGAAATGTGAAACAAATACTCCGCTAAGCAGGTTAACTTTATCACTCCATGCAAAGACAACAAAACTGATTTGAGCTTTTCATTCTATTTTTTCCTAAGAACAGGAGCTAGTCAAATGCAGAAAAGGCTGAAATTCAATTATTCTGCATGGATCCATACTCATGCCTGTAAAAGTAGTATTTCTCAAGACCTTCTTCAGAGGCAGGTGCATTAACTAGTTTTCAGCAGCTCTGTATTTCTGTTCCATGGCACTGGAATGTATCAGGGGTGTGGAGTCTGAAATGTCTCCTCTCCCTAACCACCAACTGAGGTCTGCTAGGTCAAAAGGAGAGCTGCTGCAAACATTAGGTTAATGGCAAGCAGTAACTACTTTTCACATTACTAGATAATGCTAAGGCTTCTGGTAAGGTTTGATTCCACAAAAGCTCAAGAAATTGAATTTGTCCATCTGTAAGAAAAAAATGGCATCCATCTTTTAAGTATAGCTTCCTTTTGACATTCAGGTTGCTCTGCTAGTGATGACTGCAGTGAAAAACAGCAAACAAAACCATACAGGTTCATCAAGCCAAAGTTTAGCTCTCCTGATAGTGTACAGGCCAAATAGTTAAGGAGAAGATACCTGTTAAGTCAGACCAACGAAAAAGAAGAACTAATGGATGTTACCACACATGCAAACCTAGGTTATGTCTAGAATTGGAACCTATGGGTGGACAGGCCATATCATATCCATCTTAACTACTTCACCATTTATGACAGGGCAGCTCCTTGAGAACCTTGCAGTTTTACATACCTATCACCAAACTCTCTTAGTCCAAATACCCTGCAACTTCCCCTCAGTGAGATTATTGGGCATTTACCCAGCTGCAAAACTTATCCCAAAGACAAGACCTATTAGCAGATCTGCAAGTGGCAGATTCTTCTTTTTCTCTCTCTATGACTTCTGAAATGCATTTCTTGTACAGCTGAGATGCGAAGCTTCAAGGGGTGGAGAGCAAACCTGTCTCAGATATTTGGAACGACACAAAACATTCTTGCTAAATTCAACAAATAAGGAAATAAGGCACTGGACCAGGCAACTCTCCCACAGAAGAGTTCCCTGACTTCACACATGAAAATCCAAGCAAAAGCTTAGAAGAAATACCACACAGACCAACTCAGCGCTGGCTCAGGAGATCTAAATTGCACTGAACTAAATGTAATTTCCTATTAGGAACTAGAAGCTGGTGATGGAGATATGCACAGGAAAACATCAAAGGAGGAAGAAAAATCATTAAGCACTGAATTTGCTAATCATCACTTACTAGCTACACTACTGACTAAAATCTCTGTGTCTTTTCTTCCAATCTCCTTTTATCTGCTTAGGGAATAAAAGCAAACTGAATTATCTTTATGCAGATAGCAAAAAAAAGGTACCATAATTTTCCCACTTGTATTGGGATATAATCTGTGTACTGACTTTAGACTCCTACTGCACTCATGATGTCTTGTTGAGTCTTTCCTTTCATTCTGTGTAATGAAAAATTTTGACAGACTTGAAAATATTTTTTGTGCTGGTCTTACAGAATAACATTTCAGAAATACATTGGCTTGAACTGACATGCTTAAAGACACGAAAGTGAAACTTAAAATCATACTTAGGCAAAGAT